TCTGCTTGCGACAAAACGCTCAGGTATGAACAGGGGCCATAGAACTGAATAGGATTCCTAGGGTCGAGCGTTTTGTCGCGCTGATTGAGTGGTCTGTTCACACCTAGGCGACATCGTTTTTGTGCATTTTAACGCTTGTTTTTTAAACCCATTTTTGCGCAACTTTTGCACATTTGTGCATGCATTTAATGCGCATAAATCAAGTTGCGCGTTTTTATAGATTGTAGTTCATTGATGTTAATGAGCAAACACGCGCAAAATGCGTGCAGAAACACGCAAACACACAGCAAACGCTTCAAGCATTTCCTATAAAAAAAAGCTCATGTACTTTTTCCCGCGACAGGGGTTTTACTTGTTACACAACGCTCAGATGTGAACAGGGCCATAGAAATTAACAGGGTTTTTTGGGGGTACGTTTTTTGAAAAACACTACAAAATGCTCCGTATGAACCCGGCCTTCAGGTTTAAAAGATTTCTAGCTGGTCACTATGCACATTTACATAGTGTGAGAGTTGTTTTAAGATCTCACACAAGCAATTTTATTCCTCCAGCTTTATCCATATGCGATGTTCTGAAATGCTATCATACATATACTTGAATTTGTATTCTTTTTATGGCATATTGTTATACACAGCTTCATACTCGGTGTCAATAAATTGTAAGTGAATTGCATTTTTGCTGTTTCTATGTTGTCTACATTCTATGTCTGCACAGGCTGAGTGTCATTATTTGCTCAGCAGCTTGCAAACCTTTTCGCAAGGATGCAGTTTCATCAGGTTTGTTGACATGTTGCTTAGATACCTAGAGAGAGCAGCTGTATTATAGTTACCATAGCAACAAGTGGACGCCAGCATTCCTCTGCTGCAAGGAAGGAGAGAACAAGCTGTCTGAAAGTGTTCAAAAGACGTCCAATATTATAAGCTGAACAGGTGAGGAATTAATGATGAAACAAACTCTTGCAACAAATGTCTTTATTAACAAATCAGAAGGTCGTTCTCAGAAAGATAATACCCAGTCCGCTCTTAGAACCGCTGATACACTGTTATATCCTGAAGTGGCTCTTTTACTAGTAAAAACTGTTGTTGCTTCAAACTCGGCATTGGCAAAGATCTCCTAGTTATGACTTGATGAAAGCATTTTGTTTTTGTTCTTTTTTAAGCAATTTACTAAACAAAATTCAAATTTATCTTGTTTGTAAATAATTATTTGTAGTGAGTAGGCACGCTATGCTTGTATATACAATGGGGTTGACTTACTAAAGTAACAGAGGCTCTTTATTTAGCAAAGTGAAAGTTGGTATATAAGGTATGCCATGTTCATTTTATTATCAATCATGTACAAGCATATATCAATGATGATTGGGTAGTCTATGTGAACTCAGCTTCTGCATATTTACAAACGTTCACTTTTTACAATGGTTCTATGTAGTGGAGGTATCTGGGAGGTACAATCACCAGATGAAAGGGGTTGCTCAGGGTTGGGTGCCAGCTGCGATGAGCTGTTCGTTCTGGAGCAGTGGGGTGGGTTCTCCAAGAGAGTAAAGGGGCAGGAGGGTAAATTGGCACATTTTGTAGTGCTTGACCTTCTGTGGCTGGAACTTGGTCTTCATAGTGGCAGCTTCAGTCCCCGTTCACACCTTATGTGTGCGTTTTGCATCAAAGTGCACTCATGAAGTGCGTGCTTTGACGCACATTCATAGAACGTGTCAAAAAACGTGAGTTGCACTTGCGGTACTCTTACATGTTAATGACACCCCAAACACATCCAGAAAAGGTGCGTTCTTCCCGCACGTGGACACGCGTTAAACACTCACAAGCACGCCGTATGCCTGTAGCAGAATATGATACATGTTCTACCTTCCAGTATTTGTCATGCATGAATGGGTACAATGCTAGTTTACTATTGGCTATTGCAATAGAAATAGCCAATAGTAATGTCCACCCAGCTGTCAGTAATGTCCGCCCAGCTGTCAGAAGCAGGCTGTCGGCCGGCCAATGGCCGGCCGCTCGGCCAGCTTCGTCTTTCAGCACGGCTCAGCGCTCGACTGAGCCGCTCGGCCGTGATCGGGAGCTGTACGGGCTATTGTGAATAGCCCGTACAGCACCCCCTCGGTTCTCCTGAACTGAAGGGGTCCTGGTGCCGAAGCTAGCCGAAGGATCGGACGAAGCTACGGCCAGATACTTCGGCAGCTTTGTGAATAGACCCAAATGTGTCATGTGCTGCAAATGTGGGGAAAAAATGCACACGAACATGCAAGATTGCACATTATTGTGATGTGTGTTCCCAGTATGCCGAGGTGTGAACTGGATGAGTGAAGGAAGAGAGCGGATCAATGTTTGCTACAGCGTCGTGATGCAGGCTTGGAGTGGAGCCCCTGGATTATGCCATCTTGGTTGCAGACTAGACCTCGTAAACAGTTACTTTTCTAAGTGAACAGCCTCTACTTCTTTACTTTATTTTGATTATAGTGTTAACATTTTCCATTGTATAAATCTTATTGTTAAACAGAAAGTTTTAACAGTATTGTTAATATGATGCTGATTATTATTATTGTTATTATTATTTTTATTCTGTGATGATAACAGGCCCAGTTCACAAATCTTTAAAGGAGAACTATGAGGTGCGTGATTTCCACTCATCCTCATAGTTAGAGCCGACCTGTGACAATGAATATTATCGATCGGGAAATGAGCAGAAATATGCCGCCGATCCACTCACTTCCCGATCGTCTCCCTGCAGGGATTCCCCCCCCCTTCCCTTTCCAATCCTCCATCACTGAGTGGAGGAACGAACAGGGGAGGGGGAGGGCACAGCTGCCTCTGCCTCTGTACAGGCAGAGCCAGCTGTCACTCACGCTCTCAGTATGTCGTGGGCAACAGCCCACGCTATACTGAGCTTTGGGTCACAGGAGGAGGTTAGTATATGTCCTCCCGTGTCCCTAAATAAAACTATGGGGAAAACCACTTACACTTTCACTTTTAATGCAATGATTTGGATGTTTCTTTTCAGCCATGTCCCTGTAATTTTTAATCTATCTTAAAACATAAAAAAAAAAAAGAAGGATCCTTATCTTGAAGTGTTAGCTTTGTGAACTGAGCCTAGGAAATGTACTAACATTCTAATTTTGGTATAGTTTCTAGTGCAATTGCCATTTTTATCCTTTATGTTTATTACAAGCATTGCTATTTGAAATTAGGGCTTTTCAGAATTAGAGCTATTCCACTCTGAAAACCACCATTATATAAACCAAAATAACCAGTTCAGCAGAATTCACTAATTGTTTCCATGATTTTTCCACCATATACATTTAAATAGAAAATGCAGTGTGGCTGCTTGAAGAAGAGCAAAAACTTGTAATGCTTTCTGACCTATAATGCTTAGTTTTGGCTACACTTTAATACAATGATTTAATCACATTTGATGCAATAATACAAGCTTGATCAGCATGAGGTCACAGCATATGTTATGGTGATGGCATTTTATAAAGCCACATTTTTTTAGAGCAAACATTAGGACAATTTGGCAAGGAAGTTAGGTAATTTAAGTTTGAGACCGCAGGCCATAGAAACTAAGATGCCCAGCAAACATTTAGCAATGCCAGTATGCATTAGTTAACTTGCCTATAATTGTAAAACTGATTTTGCTACCTAAGGACCCTTTCACATAAGCGGTCCGATTAGGTCCGCCTGTTAGTTTTTCAGCCGGACCCGATCGCATGCTCTATGTAAGTCTATGGGCAGTCGCGTGCAAATGGACGAGCATCTGTTTAAACCCGGTTAGCCTCGGCTCCGGCTAGGTCCTGAAAAACAAATGTATCAGAGATCCATTTTGACGGACCGGATTTTGCCGGCCCGGAGGTAATCTAATGTAAATGGACACATGTACGTTTACATCTGATTCCCCATAGACACACATGGGGCCCGGCAATTTCAGTTTTTTCTTTCATCGCAAGATGGAGGAAAAAACTGTACTGACACGAATGTCACAGTGGTGCCATCTGCTACATACTGCAGTGATCATGCTCATCTGAAAGGGGCCTAAATTATTTTTAAGGATATATAAGGCATTTATTTGATTCACAGCTTTAATAAATTCCCTGCATCCCTAAATTTTATTGTAAGCTGACCAAATCTGTTTGAAAATGCAGTTTAAACTTAACAACTTATGATATTTTTTGAAGAAGAACTCCAGGAATTCTTTTATTAACCCATGCAGTCGGGCTACCCCCACACTACAAGGGTAAACTGCTCATTTGTGTATAGGTTAATAAAAACACAGTTGGACTCACCCGAAGTTCCGAGCTGACTTCTTTTAAGACCGTTCCTTCCAACGTTTCTCCCCCTCCTCTGCAGCACTCTAAGGTCCCATAAATCATCAGCATCTATACGCCATGTATAGACATGAAGAGGCTGAGGAAGATTACAATGCTGCAGGGAGGAGGAAACGTGATAGATACAAATGAGCACTAAACCCTTTCAGTATGGGGGTAACCCCTCTGCAAAGATTAATTAAAAAAATCCTGGAGTTCTTCTTTAAACTTTTTTTTTTTTTACCATCTGTATTTCACAACAGCTGTCAGTGTGTGTCTGTCATTCTGTGCATAACACAATGGTGGACATTTATCAAGCAGATTAGCAACAAAATTACACATATCACAAATCAGGCTGCATGGAAGCTGTATACATGACATTGGAGGCTCTTCTGCATTGTCCGAATCTAAGAGATACAGAATAAATTAAAAGGACATATATCTAAAACATAAATATAATATGAGCATATCTCTTGCATATTTCAGGCAGAAAAACGAAAAATGTTCATATAACTGGGTGTTGAAGAAATCTGGCCATTGATATATATCCTCTTACAAAGCTAACGCTAGGCAGAAAAACATATTACATTAACAGGAGAAAAGAAGAACAATCATTTTATACATCAAGTAAAAATGCAAAAAATAAATTTGTCTTCCAAAGAAGCTTTTCAAGACACGTACGTTTATAACATCTTCCCTAATGACCAGTAGCAAATACACATTTAAAGCCATTCAAGACATTGATACAAAGTGTCCCAATTCAGTATCACAGCGTAAAGCTATCAGGCCAGAAACTGCTATATTAGCCAAAAGATCATCTACAGGAAGTATGTCCCAAAACCAGGCCAACCGGCCAGTTATCCCTCCTCGAAGACAGGGTTTTAAAGTGTGTTACATATGTGGAAGAGAATTTGGCTCAAAATCTATTGATATACATGAACCCAAATGCCTAGAAAAATGGCATGCAGAGAATGAAAATCTGCCCAGGCATCTCAGAAGGCCAGCCCCGGTGAAACCTCATGCGGCTGCACATAGCTCCTATAAAGACGAGAATGAAGCCGCCTGGCAAAGCTCTCAAGCACAACTTTTACCATGTGGGAACTGTGGTCGTACTTTTCTTCCAGATCGTCTTCTAGTGCATGAGAAAGGCTGTAAACCAAAGGATAAAAATGTAGGCTCTTCCCATTCCACAATTAACAAGACTGTAACACATACCAGTTCTTTGACAGCATCTACAACAACCAGTGGCTTTTCTGATTCTAAGATTCCTGACAATCCAACAAAACCAAAAACATTAATTTGTTACATCTGTGGAAGGGAGTTTGGCACCAAATCTCTCCCAATCCATGAACCAAAGTGCCTTGAGAAATGGAAAATAGAAAATGATAGGTTACCCAAAGGGCAAAGGAGACCCATTCCTCAGAAACCTCAGATGGCTTTATCTAAAAGCGTCAGCCAAGAGGAACAAAATGAAGCAGCTCGGCAGAGCTTCAAGGATCAGTTGCTACCATGTCCAAACTGTGGTAGAACTTTTGCAAGTGACCGACTCCCAGTACATCAAAGAGGCTGCAAGGCTAAACCTGGAGATTGCAGCACCAAGAACACAAGCATGCTCACTAACACACAGAAGCTAAAGAGAGAAAATGAAGAATTAAAAAATGATAAGGTAACAGGTTAATATATTATTTAACTTAGTGTGGGTAAAAAAATATGATACAAGATAAGACCTTATTTTGAAAACTTGTAAAAAAATTAATAGTAAACTAAACAGAATAGTCTCACTCAGCTATTACATAGTGCAATACAATTGTAAGTAAAGTTAAGAAATGAGGTTCGAAGTTTTGACAACCTGTATATTTATAGACCCCCCAAGCTATAGAATATTCTCTGTAAATTTGCTGTGGTGGTTGGGGTTAATACTTAGTTGTCTCACTTTCATGTCAGATAATTATTTAAGCATTATTGCACCCGTTGTTGTCACATTGAAGAGCAGGCATTGGCTCAGGATTTAGAGAGATACCATAAGGTTACTTTCACAAGGACATAAAGAACAGGCATTCACAGAGCACTTTTGAAAACTCCAAATTGCTGTCAAAGCCAATCTCTGTTCCTAAAATGGAAATGATCAATACAGCACATGCCTAGTTTTGACTTTGCTTGGGTCTCTTTTCGTCACCTTAAGTCAAGTCCGTCACCTTTATTTCAAGTCCGTGCAAAGTTAACTAGACGATACCATCCCTTTCCAAATTCTCTTATGTGGGTCAACTGGAGCACAAACTTGGAAATACCATTCAGAAAGCATTTTGTAAAGGGTCCAGTATGGATTGACCCCAGTGTTAAAAGCCCTGTCAGTCCTTTTAAACTAATTAGTTCTATTGTAAAAATGTCTTACAATGAAACTGGACAGAATAAAGTTGATGCTGCCTTCTTGTAGCAATAAACTACATAGGCTTACCTTTATAGATACACTATTGTCAGAAGCAGGCTGTCGGCCGGCCAATGGCCGGCCGCTCGGCCAGCTTCGGCTTTCAGCACGGCTCAGCGAGCCGATGCATATGTGTTCGGCTCGACTGAGCCGCTCGGCCACGTTCGGGAGCTGTACGGGCTATTGTGAACCGAAGGGGTCCTGGGGCCGAAGCTAGCGCAAGGATCGGCCGAAGCTACGGCTAGGTCTTTCGGCAGCTTCGAGAATAGACCCCTATATTGCCAAAAGTTTTGGGACACCTGCCTTTACACGCACATGAACTTTAATGGCGTCCCAGTCTTAGTCCGTAGAGTTCAATATTGAGTTGGCCCACCCTTTGCAGCTATAACAGCTTAAACTCTCCTGGGAAGGCTGTCCTCAAGATTTAGAAGTGTGTCTATGGGAATGTTTGACCATTCTTCCAGAAGTGCATTTGTGAGGTCAGGTACTGATGTTGGATGAGAAGGCCTGGCTCGCAGTCTCCCCTTTAATTCATCTCAAAGTTGTTCTTTCGGGTTGAGGTCAGGACTCTGTGCAGTCCAGTCAAGTTCCTTCACCCCAACCTCGCTCATCCATGTCTTTATGGACCTTGCTTTGTGCACTGGTACGCAGTCATGTTGGAACAGGAAGGAGCCATCCCCAAATTGTTCTCACAAAGTTTGGATCATGAAATTGTCCAAAATGTCTTGGTATGCTGATGCCTTAAAAGTTCCCTTCACTGGAACTAAGGGGCTAAACCCAACCCCTGAAAAACAACCCCACACCATAATCCCCCCTCCACCAAACTTTACACTTGGCACAATGCAGTCAGGCAACCGCCAAACCCAGACACATCCATCAGATTGCCAGACAGAGAAGCGTGACCCCGCTCTGTCATTTTACGTGGCCTACCACTTCGTGGCTGAGTTGCTGTTGTTCCCAGTTGCTTATACTTTGTTATAATACCACAAACAGTTGGCCATGGAATATTTAGTAGCAAGGAAATTTCACGGATGGAATTATTGCACAAGTGGCAACCTATCATGGTACCACGCTTGAATTCACTGAGCTCCTGAGAGCGACCCATTCTTTCACAAATGTTTGTAGAAGCAGTCTGCATGCCTAGGTGCTTGATTTTATACCCCTGTGGCCATGGAGGTGATTGGAACACCTGAATACAATCATTTGTAGGGGTGTCCCAATACTTTTGGCAATAAAGTATATCTTGAATATAGTTTTCTGTTTGCAAGTTTCTGTCTCTCGCTCTTCTCTCATTCCTTATCTCTCTATCTATCATTAGTTTTGTTTGCAGGCTTTTTTTGCTTTATTTTTACCTAGTGATTCTGCTGGTAACTCACTTCCTGTCCTAGTATAACAACAATCACTTCTCATACTGCATCAAGACAACATAAACAGGACAGGACTACTCAGAACTCCCCCTGTCCTTTTGTAGATAACATGGAAGGGTTCCTGTACTCCTCAGACCAATATGCACAATGACAATGCAGCACAGGCAGAGTTTAACCCAGATCAGCAGTTTAATCAAGTAAAGTGAGTATAAACTTTTGCTGCTGCAGGAAGGGCCACAGGTTGGTAGAATGGGTGAAAGTTAGTTTTAAACGACAAGTCTTCTTTAAAGGAGAACTATGGGGTTAAGGTTTTTCCCCATAGTTCTCCTTACGGTAACGGGAGGACCCTAGGCTCAGTATACAGCGAGCTGTAGCTTGCGGTATACTATGCGATCGCCCGCACGGCAACCACAGGGCACATTGTGCCTGCAGTGAGTTCCGTGCGGTGCGTTCAAAATAGTGCTTGCAGCATTCACTTCAATGGCCCGCCACGCCCCCTCCTGCCCAACAAAATAGGGAGCCGGCCGCAATGCGGGAGGTGCATTCTGGTCCGGAATTGGACCGGAACGCACTGCTGATTCGACCATTGTGCTGAATGGAAACAAAAAGCCCCTAAAGAATTTTCCTTGAATGGCAGTATTTATTACTTACAGCTAGGGCAATTGTCAGCTCCATGAAATGAAATGCTCTTTTGCACTTTTATAGATAATTCTCCAAAATTTCAAATTAAAAGTGTTGTCTAGATAATTTTTTGGGAAAATTTGAATGAATAAATAATTTTAAAGCATTACTAAGAACAGAATATATTAACAATTTAGAGAAGTCAATGAAAAACTCTCTATTAAAGCCAACTTTATCCCAGACACTGTGTCATGAGAATAAGAATAATTTTAATGAAAACATCTTGGCAGGACTTTTTTAAGTTGGAAAGGCCTGTTCTTATTGAATTACGTGAGAATTGTCGGCACTTTGCTTGCTAGTTCTTTCACACCGGTCACTGCACATGAGCGATCTCCTAGAATTTACAAATGATCTGACTTGTGAATAGTTGAAATGGTTGTTTCTTTGATCCTAAGCATATAAACCATAAATTGCTATTGTTGAAAAATCAAGTTATGTACTCATGTTTACTTGTCTACATACCAAATCTCAAGGCCATTTATTCTGTCTCTAAAGCATTAGTAACTCTTGCACATTTTTTCGGCATGTAAAAATGCAATTTGTTGGATTTGTGTTACTCTATAGAACATAATCTGTCTGGTTCTTCATGAACTACCATTAACACTTCATAAATTCCAAAATGTATTATGCTCTCAAATTGGCGTGTGCATAAATTCCAAAATGTATTATGCTCCCAAATTGGCGTGTGCATAAATTCCAAAATGTATTATGCTCCCAAATTGGCGTGTGCTTCTGATAAAGTGTTTTACTAGAATCTTTTAAAAGTCTTTAAGAATGGTGCTCTGTGACATTTTAGTGACCTCCATAATAGAAGAATTGTATGGTATAGTGTTGGAAGGGTTTTTTTTGTCTTTACAAAGTTATGGTTGAATGGAAAACAAAAATATAATACATTGTTGTAACCACATTTTTTTTAGTTTAATGGTGACCCTTAAACAGTTGAAATAATGTGCTTGTGTAGCTTATCACTAGAGCCATTGAGACTAGACATCAACACAAGCTCCATATTAATATGACTGATAAGAAAAGTGGTCTATATAAGTTTACAAAAACAATAATTTTCTCATAATGCCCCAACCTATCATATATCAACCATAAATCTGACTTTTTGTCTATAATTTTTCTAATTATAGAATATGTTAGGCCGCCATATTGATTGAGGACTTAATATTTTATTACTATTCTTTAGACGATACAAATCAACCTTTTCAATATAGTGCAGCAGCAAAAAAGCATAGCAAAATCGAAGGCTCTAGAGTTTTAGTGCATTAGGCTACAATACTGCACATATACTGTAAGTTCTTTTTTCAGTAATTTGTTATTCTGGGAAGACTTACTGCTGAGACATGTGATATAGCAGGCCAGGTATTCTTAATGCCACCCCCTATAAGACAGAGAGAGTAAGCTGGACATTACAGAATCATGGTCAGAAGTCACATGCAGTTGCTTTTTAGAAGCTAGCTGCATTGGATAACATTAAATAGATTAAAGTAAATACACTGAATTTTCAGATTTTTACAAGATTGTAGGGATTAGCAGTTCACTGATAAGTGTCCTAAAGATAAGTGTAGTTTGCTTTTGATGGTAACTTACTGTCCACAAACCCAAGATCTGCTGGACACCATCACAACCACATCCATTTAGTAAATAATATTCTTCATAGATAGCAATACAGTTAAAAAAAAGGAAAAGGTTACTTTTTACATGAATTCAGTAGACCTAATATTAGCCTATTGGATATCAGTTGCATGCAAAAATTGCTTCCTGGGACATCCTGGCTTCACTTAAGGGAGCCAATGAAACCTGTTGTATTTATAAAAGCATGTAATAAAATTTCTGCCACAATTAAATGATCATGTCCCTTTTACAATATAGAGGGATGACTGGAAGCAAATATATTTGATTTGCTGTGAAATTATGTTTTTACATGTCCTGTTGGGTAGCTGTTTATTTTTAGTTCAGATTTTTTTTAATAATTAAAGTATTCTGATGTTTTCATGAATCAAATGGTATCTTACATTCACTATGCATGAATGTCTCACCCCATGTTAACTTATATTTCTTTTTGTTGTTTTATTCCTAGCAGCTAGCTAATCCAACTTTAGTATTGTTGGAAATACAACAGCTTATGTTGATGTAGTATTGTCTTTTGAGCACTAGATGGCGCTGTAGTGCAAAGCTAGTCTATGATCAACTGTATGTTAGTTTTCTAAATGTATACTTAACTATCATCTATATGTTTCCTGTTTAATGCTGTATTCAGATGTATTGTTCTTATGAGCAAGTAAAACTTAATTCAGCATTCCTCCATATCTCAGTGCTTCATCTAAACACATAACCAACAGTTTATGGGCCCAGACACTGAACAGAACACTGCAAGTCAACAAGAGCCACATCCAAGCTGCTGAAAGATGGCAAGTAGTTCAGTTATAGAGTTTGCAATCGCAAAACACAACAATAGCAACTACCAGCTTTGGAAGTTCAAACTTGAAATGCTGCTAACTTAGCAAAGATGACTTGTGGCAAATCCTGAGTACAGACAGACCTAGTAAAGGACCCACTGAGGAATGGAACAAGAAGGCAAGCAAAAGCAGTTATAAGTCTGCTAGTGGAAGATAACCAGCTCATCTACATCAGAAATAAAAATACAGCTAAAGGTATGTGGACTGCATTACAGAAACTGCATTAACGTTCAAACCTAAACAGTAAACTATATCTGCTACACAAGCTATCTAAGATGAGGCTAGAAAAAGCCCAAGAAATGTCTGAACATTTGAATGCCATGCTGAAAATTGTAGAGCAGCTACGTGCAATTGGAGAGGAAATTAAAGATAACCATGTGGTGGCATTACTGCTATGCAGCCTTCCAGAGTAATACAGTGCTCTTATTAACACTCTGAAAACCAGACCTGAGCAGGAACTAACACTAGAATATGCTAAAGGAAAATTATTCAATGAATATGACAGAAGGAAGGAAAATATGCACAATGAAGAAAACGAGAAAGCCCTTAAGGTGGATGAAAGCGCAAAGCAAAATACAGAAAGAAAAACATGTTTTGCTGTAAAAAGACTGATCACCTGAAAAAGGACTGTTCAATCGGGAAAGCTGAGCAGCGAAAGCAAAAGGCTCCTACAAGAAAAAGAGATAATGCACCCACAAAGATGAACTGTAGGCACATCATGAAGTGCTACCTTTTAAGTGACTCAGTATACCACGCGGATGGTGTATTGAAGCAGGAGATACAAGTCACATGACCAGTGATAAGACCTTCTTCACAGAACTTGATTTGAGTGCAAAGAAAAACGTTTTCCTAGCAAACGGGAAAAGTACTACCGTGGAAAGTAACGGTTAAGGATTCTTGAACTGCATCACACCGACAAGGCACAAGCAGAGTATCCTCGTGAAAAATGTACTGTAGTGTGTACTGTTCCAGACCTAGAAGGAAGCCAGTGAAATCAGTGAAACCTTTGCTAATAACAGTCTCATAGTTCAAATCCGAAGTGATGAATGTACAAACTTAAACAAAAAGCATATCCTCGCAAAAGGAAAATTGGATGAACACCTATACAGACTTATCACCGCAAATCCACAAGTGGTTACATCTTCCAACATGGGGAAAGAGCCATAAGTTGGTTTAGCCAAAAGCAAACAAGTGTTGCACTTTATTTAACTGAAGCTGAATACATAGCAGCAGCAGTACACACTTATCAAGAAGCAATATTGATTTGCCAGCTTTTAATGGATATGGGCATAGACATGTCAAACCCCATCCCAATGTTTGAAGACAACCAGGGATACATAAAGCTGACACAATCAGAAAGAGTCAACCCTAGAACCAACCATATTGATGTGAAGTATCATCTGCTAAGGGACACCCAAGAGCAAGCTATTATCGACATTCAATATTCCTCATCAGAAGAAATGACTGCTGACGCACTCACCAAGCCATTGCCAAAGGATCATCACAGTTTCCATAGAGGGATGCTAAACGTCATATAGCAACGCATATGCTGTTGAGAAGGGGTGTTGGAAATACAACAGCTTATGCTGATGTAGTATTGTCTTTTGAGCACTAGATGACACTGTAGTGCAAAGCTAGTCTATGATAGTCTGTATGTTAGTTTTCTATATGTATACTTATCTATGCTCTATATGTGTCCTGGTTAATGCTGTATTCAGATGTAATGTTCTTATAAGCAAGTAAAACTTAATTCAGCATTCCTCAAGATCTCAGTGCTTCATCTAAATACATCACCAACAAGTATAACCTGAGACCACAAAAATATACTATATGGTTAATTATTTAAGGGGTATATTTGTTAAGCAATGACTGTAACATTCATCAACCATTCACAGATGGCTAATCATTCCCTGTAACTTAAAACGCATACACCAGGAATATACACCTGCAGTGAACATTTGGTGACTATCGCATTCACTGCTTTCTAAATATTCCCTTGTGTGTGTTTATTATATAGCTACTGTCACAGGTCCACCATATGGGTACAAAAAATGAAAAAAAGGCCTCAGTCATGAAGGGGTTAATATTGTATTGAGGTTGACCTCAATGGACCTAATTATATAACTATGACTGTTATTGCCATATTGATGTGTTGGTATTAAAATTACTGATTCTCTGCCAAAGAGAGCACACTGGCAAAATGTTTGGCTCTTGTGTGTTTTTTTTTTAATTTACAGTTATACAACAATGCAGTGGGTCCTAAAGGAGAACCCAAACATTGCTACACAGGGCCAACTGAAAACTATTTCAATAAATGTGCAATATCTTAAGATTTTCTGTAGCTTGGTGGTCCACCACCTTCTGTTTAGTACAAAAAAGGAAAAAAAATACAGCTCTGGATTACACTGTGTAAACTAATAACTGTTTTTTCCTCAGTTTTTAAATGTCACTTTTTGTCTTGTAAAACATTTAGGAGCAGAAAATAACTTTGCATACTTCAAAACATTTTTCCCCAGCCACCTGCAATAAAAGCACCTCCAACAGTTGTGTGCTACATCTGCGGTCGTGAGTTTGGTACAAAGTCTATCAGTATCCATGAACCTCAGTGTCTAAAGAAGTGGCATCTCGAAAATGACAGACTACCTAAGAATCTGCAGAGACCTGAGCCAAAGAAGCCAGAGGTCAGAACAATAGGAGGTATGTTTTACAAATGTCTCTAGATCAAGCACTCAACACTTACAAATGTCTCTAGTTCAAGCACTCAACGCTGGGCATTTATATTTTTAAATGTTTCAATGCATTCTTATCAGTCAGATTGTGAACCGACAGCCTTCTGGCAATTAAATCCCTGCCATTGTAGAAAGATGTGCACTGCCATGGGAACCGACTGCAGCTTCCATTACTGGAACCCGGAGACTTGATTGTGAACTAATCTGATTAAGTTATGATCATGTGATCATGCCCATGCTTCCAAAACACTTTTACTGTGTATATGGGCAACATAACATTTCAGTAAATGAATACACTGTAAAATCCTAAGGATGACTTCACTTTAGTTTCTTTTAACTAAATGGGCAAAATACAGACAAAAGCTTTATGAAAGTAAATCAGGGTATGCAACATTTTACTATACAACTGTGTGTCAGGGAAAAGACTGCCAGCCGAATTCACCAAGTTGTCCTCCTTATTTCAGAACCATTGGCAAATATGAGAAAAAGTGTGCATATCCTGTTTGCATTATCTCTACAGAAAGTATAAAGTATAAGGGTTGTTTTCCCTGACCATTCTGCAACCAATGTTTGTAGAGAATGGTCAGGTAGAGAAAACAGAAGGCATTCACGTGTCTCATTCCATTACATCTACCAAAAATAAGGGGAACATTCCTCACTTCTGGAGCCTTACCCCCCATACCCCCCATTGGCCAGATGCACATCCAGGACTGCTTTTCTCTAGTCCAAATACAGCCTAACATTATAGAGTAATTTATTCCAGCTACAGTGGTTTCAGGCTTTTTGACCATCACCATTGCAGTGTATGGAAAGAATAGCTCCAGTGGAATAAGCCTTGGGACCCAGTGAGAGTATAATCATGTAGGTTATGGTAGGAAGGGACTAAAGCAATCAAAAAGTCCTCGAACTCAATTACTGTGTTGAACGGTAAAGCCTTCTTAAACCAGCCCACTGTCTTGAAATAAAGAATAATCCTCTCACTTTTAGAATATGCAATGGAATGAGACACGAATACCTTTTGTGTTAAGAAGGCTTTAATGCGCTATGCATTAAATCAGTTGGAGGGCTTTCTGATTTTTAACCCTTTCGCTGCCAAGCACTCCGGAATGCTTTTAACCTCAGCTGGCCAGACCATTTTTGCAATTTTTCCCATTGTTTTGATTTTCTACTGCTGCGTTGCTAGCGTTTGTAAAACACCCCCAAACCATATATTTTCTGAAAGCACAGGCCCAGTAGAATAAAAAGATGGTGCTACTAATTTTGTAGGCCCTGTTATAATTGTGCAAATGTTCGTCAATCAATATTAAACCGATAAAAATACACATTACCCTAAAAGCACACTAAAATGAGTATCAGTGCGCAAAAAAAAAAAAAACTTTTCCGACTAAATCTTAAAGATAAAACTGTATTGAGTTAATTAATAACAAGTATTTGTAGATTTTAAATTGCACCTTTTTGCAAAACTGTAAATAGGCAACTTATGTTAAAAATAATTTATACACTGTGGTGATGTCTGTGTTGTGATAAAATGATACAGGTGTACATTTAAGCGCAACACAGTGTATCACAAAGTGTTGTGACGCACGGCAATGCGCTGCCACAATTAAATTAATGTTATTTCAAAAAGAAAAAATCAAGCACTGTGATGCATTCTAACAATGCAGCACATATGCATGGCATACACCACAATATGGTGCACACTGTTCCACGTGTATGTTATCTGTGTATGTGTGGGGAGGGTTGTGTTTTATTTTTTTTATTTTTTATTTTTATTAATGCTTACTGTTGGGGGGGCTTCAGATAAATATTAGGAGTCTGACATTTCCTTTTTTAAATAGAAAAATAAATTGAGGACACAGAGTCTTCTGAATACAGAGCAGAGTTACCACTCTCATGAAGGCTCTGCCTGCTTGCACTACAGCAGGATGAAAAATGTTGCAGGGGACATGGCTATCAGCATTGCCAATTCTAATTCACAGTTCTGTATCTTGTCAACCAGCACCTGGTCACACCTAATCATGCCCACTATATATATA